ATTATTTTATAGTGAATTTATAGGAACGTTTATATGGGAAAACTACCAAGAAAGAATAAATACAAGTAGATTTAAAATGTATTATTATTTGTATTATTATTATGAGAAAATAGATAAAATATAAAGCAAATGGAATGATAATTATGACTTGACTTGTTAGTATTTAGTTTAATCTCATGGAAATAAATACCAACTTTCAAATGCTAGAAAAATTAAAACTTTTAAAACTCCTTAAAAATACTAACCAAAACAACGCCACAAAGTGTTAGTATATAAATTGGGGTACTTAAAATATTGCATTGCCTAGTGTTTAAATACATATTTTGGTATACATTTATTTTTAAAGTTTTTTGTATACATTTTTATTTTATAAAATACAAATTTGTTTAACTATTTTACCTCCATTTCATTAATTAGTTAACCATAAATAAGCGTATGTCTCCCATGAACATTTTACAATTTACTTACCCCAAATAATTATTAACTCTTCTTGAGGCTAATTAAGCTTTTCATCTAAATGTTTTTTATTTTATTTTGATTGTTTTTTTTTTATACATACATACATATATTACTTACCATTATGTACATGCACAGTTCCATCTCACATAACTCTGGACAATCGTAGTGATTATAGTAATTCATGATCTTGAGGACAATAAAAACCAAGTGACACAGGGGAAACCCAAAGCAGGATGGCGAGTAATTTTAATGTCTCGCCTGGAAGTACATAAAAGCAGAGTCCCTCCAAAAAAAAAAAAAGCAATAATAAAAAGAAAAGCTTCAGTGCACGCAAAAGAAAAGCCTGGGGAAATGGCGGTAGACTATCGGGGAAGTGGTTTTTACTATCCAACGAGAATCTACCGCAACTAAAAACAAAAGTTATGTGTGCACGAAAAATCATGTCCAGTCATTTCCTGTGCAACTTTCGGCCCAAGGACCCAAAAGAACCCCCGAGGGAGCATGGAAATGGTATGGGAGAAAAGTCGGGGTTAGCGGAGGAAAAGTGGCTAGATGGCCGAAAGGAAGGATTCCTCCTCTTTCCTCCCTCCTCTCATTGCCAAAGCGGCTTTCGTTCGGTGGCCTTTTATGGTCATAAAAATTTTATTATAATTTTTAATAATTTAGGCAAGCATATTGCTGCCAGCGAAGTGAGCAAGGAGCCGGTAGCCAGGAGCACGGAGCACTTTGAGCTATCCAAAGTTTTTCCCACTCCCACTCCTCTGTACCTGTGTATCACCTGGCTCATACGCATGCCGGGCATTTCCGGCTCTATATGTGCCGCCGGACATACACACACAGAGAGAACGGGCATTACGGACAAGCACGGACAAGCACGGACACGAACAAGGACACGGGCTTGGACGGACAGTGGAACACAGTCGCAGTCAAAGTGCAAATGCCGTAAATCATGGAGCTGGTAAACAAGCAACAGAAAGGAGGAAAAGCACCCAAAAAAAAAATAAAGCCAAGGGAAAAGTACGGGTTTGAATAGTACCTTTGAATACCTACCAAAAAAAGGATCTATATATGTATATATAGAAAATAAATAGAAACTTTAGGTTGATTTTTTTTTTGAACACACAGCTTTAGCTTTTTGAAATGACCAAAAATTGCCTTAAAAAAGTAAATTAGGCAAAGTCACAAGATGAGCTTCAGGAATATCCTTGAGAAGTTCTAAAGGAATTTTAATAGGAAAGTTCTATGGGAATTTCTTTAGGACATTTTTAGGATTTTTTTATGAATTTTCTTAGGAATTTTGTAGGAATTCCCTTACGAATTTTTATAGGAATTTATTAATGAATTTCCATATCATTCCTTTCTTTAGCAATATAATTATTTTCTTAAGTTAAATAAATAAATTTTATGTATATATAATTAATAATAATTATTTTTTTATTTATTAAGAAGTATATATTTTAAAACACCACAAATCAAAGTAATCAAAGGTACTTTCTAAAAGAAAGGGTATCAAATCCAACGATACGTTGGAATGTATGGAATAGCCGTGTGGCTATAGCCGCAGCTACACCGATAGCGATAGCGCGAAGGATATGGATTGGTTGGTTTTTCTGGCGAATCAGTGGATATATATATATATATATCTATATCTATATACATATATATATACATATATCCTTGCTGGTTAGCCGTCTTTCAGCGCGTTTTTCAAAGCTACTTTTATTTCGCGTTTTCCCCGCTTTTCAACATCTTTTCTTTTTTTTTTGAGCTTTTCCGTTTCGTGGTAACGCTTTTCTCATGTTGTTGTTGTTGTTGTTGTACTTTTTTCTACCTTTAAAAGGTGGCAACAATCCAATGAAATCGTTAGCATTACCTTTTAACTGAAATGAAAAGAGCAAGGATAAAAAGTAAGGCAGCCCAAAAATAAAACTTAATTTATAGTTCCTTAAAAAACATACACCATATACTTAAATTTAGTTATTTATTTATTTCAAATAAATCAAGTTTTCATTGCTTCGCTAGCATCAACAGGCTTTTCTTTAGAACACTTTAAATGTTCTTGGAAAAAAATAAAACAGGAAAATCCAGCAAGAAAAAAAGGAAAATTGGTAAAAACAAACAAAAGCCGCAAATGCCAAGGCCAAACTCAGACTGACAACACAGGATGAACATTCGCGGGGAGGGGAAAAGTGGGGTAAATGTGTGGAAAAGTGTGGAAAATGCTGGGGGGGGAAGGCGGTGGAAAGACGCCTATCGCATATGTCATACATATGTTCTGGTGGCCTGTTTGTTTATATGCCAGCGTGGGTGTCTCTTTCTCTCTCTCTGTATGTGTGTGTGTGTGGGTTGCATTCAGTCGCGGAAAATGGAAAAATGGATGTGAGGAAATGTACGCAAACCGAAACGGAAAATACAACAACACAAGTCGACACAGAAAAGCGTTAACAAACAAAAAGAAAAAAATGGGAAAAGGGAAGAAAAAATACTTGCACTAGAGATATGCTTGAAATATAGGTTTTAATTCTATGTTTTTTTGCTCAGGGAAAAATATATATACTTAGCATTTAAATACAAAATATATATTAAAAAAAAAACAATAAAAACAGTTTTACAAAATATAATACTTTCGTAAAAGTTTGATCAAAAATTAACTAAGTTAGGAAAATACTAAAGCAAAGGCTATTATCTTTCTGAAAGTATACAGTCGCTAATGTATATTATTTATATCTTATAAATAAATAGATATTTATTTAAGTTTTTAAATATTTCTACATATTTATACCCTTGAAGGGTATTTTAATTTCAGTTAGAAGCTTGCAAAAAAGTGAAAGAGTCATTTCCGACCCTATAAATCATATATAATCTTGATCAGCATCAAAATACGAATCAATCTAGCCATCTCCGGGAGGAAAAAAATTGTAACAAAATGTTCAAAATTTTATAAGGGGTTGCATTGCTAAAAATGCCAAAAAAATTTAACAAAATTTTTAATTTTTGTTTAATATAAATAGAGTTTGCAGATTTATTAACCTTATAAAAACTAACATAGGAAAGCTTTCCGAATTAAAATTAATGCATTTTGGGCTGAGTTATGCGTTTTTAAATATCGGATTTTTGCAAAAAAAAATTTTAAAAAATCATTTAAAAGAATTTGAATATATTAAGCTTAGTTATGATCGATTTTCGATTCGATCCTATAATTCAATTAAAAACTGCAACTTTCCTTTCTTGTTATATTTATATTTTTCCCTTAAAAACAATATTTTGTAGTCTTTATAAATACTTTTACAGCTTGGCAGTTACTAAGCTTAAATTTCTGGCAGTCTGTTACAGTTCATGATTTAAATACAAAAAAAAATCCAGACAGCTGACAGGAAAACCAACACCCTACACACACTTCATACACACACACTCCATACACACTCTTTTTTTTATATGTTTTTTTTTACAGAACAGGTCTTTCATTTGGTTTAAACTTGACCCACAAAAACGGATTTTATTGCATTCGTTTGCCATGTAAGCAGGGGCGAAAGGTGAAAGGTGAAAGGGGATCTTTCAAGGGTTTATTGGAGGGAACTTTCCTCTCTCTCTGATTTTTTATTTTTTATTTTTGTAAAGGCCAAAATGCACCTTGCTTGTAATTATTTTTTTATGGCATCTGTTTTCACTGATTTCATTCATATACAAACCGAAGGCTGTAATTTAATTAAGGCAAAAGTAAATATTCAGAATTTAAAGCAGCTTAAAAAATATATACAAGATTAATCAGTTAAGGAAAGCTATTTACAATTTAAAATAAAATGTAATAAAGAGTTGCAAACTTTACCTTAAGATTTATGGAATATGAAGTTAAAAACAAGAAATAATGATATATTAAGTATAATAAGACTTTACCTTAAGATGTATAAAATATTATGTTAAAAACAAGAATGGGAAATAATTTGGGAAGCTGAAGTAAAAGTTTTCTTACCATTTGCAATTCAATTAAAGTATTGAATCGGAATTCTATCATAACAAGGTTTATTATATTCACATTAATTATCGATATTTAGTATGAAATTTTTTCGAAAAATCTTATATTAAAAAATGTATAACTCAGCCAAAAAAGCATTAATTTTCATTCAGAAAGCTTTCCTACGTTAGTTTCTATTAGGTTTATAAATCTGCATACTTTATTTGAAATTTTGAAGTTTTCAAAATTTTTTCATTTTTTTTGGCAATTTTAGCAATGTAACCCCTTAAAAATTTTGAAAAAAAATAAAAAGTTTAGTTTTTGTACCGAAGTTGGCTAGACCAACTCTGCTTTTAATGCTGATCAAGAATATATATGATTTTTAGGGTGGGAAATGACTTCTTCACTGCTTTCCAAGCTTCTGACTGAAAATATAATACCTTTTAAGGGTAAAAAATAAATATGTTACATTAAATTAAATATTATTAAATACATATAAATTGAAATAAGACTTTAGTTAAATGTAAATATATTTTATAATATTCTAATCCATTTCCTTTCTCTCTTTCTCTTACCCTACAGCCGAGTTAACAATTTGTTTGAAAATGAAGAAAACTCACGGCAGTCGCCAAGTGGTGCTGCCTCTAATCCTTTCGCTTCTGATGGTCCTAATTCTCCTTCAACCAATTGCCGTCCAAGCCAAGTCAAAGAAGAATAAATCGAATCAAAACTCACATCACAGTGACTCCTCGTCGAGTTCATCATCGTCCTCTGCATCCGGTGGCAATGAGGAGAATAAACCGAAAAGTGGTGACAATGGTGGCCAGCATTTTGCCATGGAACCGCAGGATCAAACCGCGGTGGTGGGTTCAAGGGTTACGTTACCCTGCCGGGTAATGGAGAAAGTCGGTGCCCTCCAGTGGACCAAAGATGACTTTGGCCTCGGTCAGCATAGAAACCTGAGTGGCTTCGAAAGGTACTCGATGGTGGGCAGTGATGAGGAGGGTGACTTCTCCTTGGACATTTATCCCCTGATGCTGGACGATGATGCCAAATATCAATGTCAAGTGGGTCCGGGACCCCAAGGTGAACAGGGTATCCGTTCGAGATTTGCCAAACTGACGGTACTGGTACCCCCGGAAGCACCAAAAATTCTGCAAGGTGATTATCTGGTCACCACCGAGGATCGTGAAATTGAATTGGAATGTGTATCGGTGGGTGGTAAGCCGGCAGCGGAAATCACTTGGATTGATGGCCTTGGCAATGTCCTTACCAAGGGTATTGAGTATGTGAAAGAACCACTGGCTGATTCTCGTCGAATAACAGCCAAGTCAATCTTAAAATTGGCACCCAAAAAGGAACATCATAATACAACATTTACATGTCAAGCACAAAATACTGCGGATCGTACATATAGATCGGCGAAACTTCTGCTGGAGGTCAAGTATGCACCAAAGGTCACCGTTTCGGTGGTGGGTGGTGCCCTGGCAGGTGGAAAAATACCCGAAGGTGCCGAGGTCATACTCAGTTGTCAGGCAGATGCAAATCCCCATGAACTTAGCTATCGTTGGTTTATCAATGATGAGTTAATCACTGGTGATTTCACCACCAAAATGGTAAGTATCTCTAAGAACACTATATAGTTTTGAATAACTGAATAAAATGGTTATATATATTTATCAACAGATCATACACAATGTAACACGGCAATATCATGAGGCGAGTGTCAAGTGTGAAGTCATGAATGCGGTGGGCAAAAGTGAGGAAAGCGAGACCTTGGACATAAGCTGTAAGTTTTTCTCTATAGATAAATAAGAAAGGAAGCTGACTTCGGCACGCCGAAGTTTATATACCCTTGCAAATAGAACTTCGATCACTATGAATTAATGCAATATAAATTATGAATATTTATGTTAAAAAACAATAAAGTAATGCCTGCTTTCATGCATTCATTTTCCTCTATTTCTAACGGTCGATTGTATGGCAGCTATATGATATAGTAGTCCGATTTTTATACAATTTTACACAAAATTGTAGATTAATTTTTAATGGCTATATATATGAAATTTGATGAAAATCTGTTGAAAACTGAAAAGGTTATTATATTTCTTAAAATGTTCCGATCGTTCCTATAGCAGCCATATATATATATATATATATATATATATATATATATAGTCCACCGATTCTCCATGCCTCGACTTATACATTAGTAAAATTACATCGAAGAATAACTCCATAGTTTCATTGAAATAGCTGCTCTTTGTTCCAAAACAAATTTCGCGCACCTATGCATATGATTCCCAACTTGTTTTAACCTCCCCGGAACGAAGTGACTGCTGCCGGCCACGTCTCAGATATGTGTTGTGTTTCAAAAGTTGCAAGTCATTGTTTACCAGTGTTCAAAGTTATTAACTGATCATACATACTTACTGTTCAGAGTTACTTACTGGTCATGGATACTTAATGTTCAGAGTTAGATACTTACTGATCAGAGTTACTTACTGCTCATAGATACTTACTGATCAGAGTCCCTTACTGCTCATAGATACTTACTGTTCAGAGTTACTTACTGGTCATAGTTACTTACTGGTCTTAGTTCTTTAAATCGTCCGATTGTTCCTATGGCAGCTATATATATGTATATATATAGTCCACCGATTCGCTATTCTTCGACTTACATACTAGTAAAATTACATCGAAGAAGAACTCCATAGTTTCATTTAAATAGCTTGCTCTTTGTTCCAAAACAAATTTCGCGCACCTATGCATATGATTCCCAACTTGTTCTAACCTCCCCGGAACGAAGTGACTGCTGCCGGCCACGTCTCAGATATGTGTTGTGTTTCAAAAGTTGCAAGTCATTGTTTACCAGTGTTCAAAGTTATTAACTGATCATACATACTTACTGTTCAGAGTTACTTACTGGTCATAGATACTTACTGTTCAGAGTTACTTACTGGTCATGGATACTTAATGTTCAGAGTTACTTACTGGTCATAGATACTTACTGTTCAGAGTTACTTACTGCTCATAGATACTTACTGATCAGAGTTACTCACTGCTCATAGATACTTACTGTTCAGAGTTACTTAATGTTCATAGATACTTACTGATCAGAGTTAATTACTGATTATAGTTAACAAGTGTTTCTCTGAAAGTTATATTACATAGTACTCAAATTTTCAAAAAACTAAAAACGAAATTCTATAATAATTGAAGATAGCTTCGAGTCGAATTAGATAAAATTGTGTTAAAAACTGGAAAAGTTCTGACTTAAATTATATTATCCTGCAAGGGTATAATAAAATACATATATATATTTTTGATTCCTATTTAATCTTTTCTGTTTTTTTCCCCCCCAAAACAGTTGGTCCCGTTTTCCGCCAGCGACCTGTAAGCGTGGAAGCCGATCTGGGCGCCACGGTGAGCATGCGCTGTGAGGTGGCCGGCAATCCCAAGCCGGAAATCGAATGGATCAATGAGAACTCCGATCAGGTAAAGTTAATCCTTGAATTAAAGATTATGCCAAGGTATTAATCGTTTCATTATTCTTCTTTACAGATTGTGGGTCGCAGTGCTGAACTAAAGCTGAAGGTAACCAGCGAGAATGCTGGTCGTTATTTTTGCAAGGCAGTTGTCAATGGATTTCCCGAAATTGGAGCCGAGGCCACGGTTTATGTGAAGCGAGCCCCTATCATAACCTCACACAAAGTGCAATTTGGTGGCGTTGGTGGACGTGTGAAGATCGATTGTCTTGCATTTAGTATACCCAAGGCAGAGCATATCCTGTGGTCCTTTGAGGGCAAAGTGATAAATATGAGCAGCGCTGATCCCGATATATATATCTTTGAGGAGCATCATTTGCCGGAGGGCGTTAGAGCAGCCCTAATTATACGTGATAGCAAAGCCTCACATTTTGGACGCTACAATTGTACGGTGATGAATTCATATGGCGGTGACTCATTGGTGATCACATTGGTCCGTGAGGCAGGCAGCATACCCGTACTGCTTGTCGTCATGGGATCCATGTTCTCGGTGGCCATTATCCTCATGATTGTTATGATCATCATTGTGTATCGGAAGCGACGCAGTCGTAAGAAGCCAATGCCAGCGGATGTTATACCGGAGGCATCGCGTGGTGGTGACAAGTTAAATGAATTGAAAAGTGAATTACGCTCAAAGGCCTATGATGTGGAATACTCGGAAGCTGGAAACGATGGTTTGGCCATCAATTTAAATCAATCTCCCATGCCTGATGTCCAGATGAAGGGTGCCACCTTGGGTGTACCCCTGGCAGGACCTGTTAAATTCGATGAACGTTTCTCTGGTGACTTCACTGCCGGCGATCGGTATAATCGACAATGTCATATTAAGAATTTAAAGAATCAGCAAGAGACGGCGTATAAGGAGAGTCCACAGGCCAATGGTTATGCGCATTATTTTGAATATGCTTTGGACTATAGTCCGCCTGGTGAGGGTGCTGCGGTGATGGTTGGTGGTGTGGCCAAGGCCAAAAACGGTGGCATGAATTCGGCCACCTTGCCACATTCCGCGGGAGCCACCGCCGGTGCCGCTGTAGCTGCAGCTGGAGCCTCTATCAATGGTGGCGGTGGAGCGAATGGTGGTGGTGCCAGTCTGCCAAGAAATCAGAATCGACACGAACTGCAGCAATCCCAGCAGGCCAATGGATTTTTGGGTGAGTTTTTGTTTTACTTGCTTAGATTTCTTCTGGAACTTTTTCTAAGACTCTTATTGTTGTTGTTCTTTTTTTAGGTCAACCGCTGCTGCAGAATGGCATCGATAGCCGCTTCAGTGCCATTTATGGCAATCCATATTTAAGGACAAATTCGTCGCTATTGCCACCGCTCCCGCCGCCGAGTACCGCCAATCCGGCGGCCACGCCCGCCCCACCGCCCTATCATGCAGCCCGCCATGGGGGCCATCATGCCCATCACGGGAGCGGCGGTCTGAGGCATTTCAGTGGTGCGGCAGTGATCACCACGAGTCCTGTGGCAAATCTGAGTGGCAATAGCGGCACAATAGCGCCCAGCGGCGGTGGTATTGGTAGCATCATGCCCAGTGGCGGCGGTGCGGGTGGCAGTGTCAGTGGCAGTAGTTCGAATTTAACCGCCAGCAGTAACACCTTGGCGGCCACGCCCCAAGCGCAGGGCGGCGGAATTGGTGGTAGTGGTGGTGGTAGTGGTGCCCCATGTGCCCAAAGTCCATCGGGGCAATTTATATTGCCCAATAATGGCAAGGGGCATACGCAAAAGGGACCTCTGGCCACCCATGTCTAAGCGATAGAAGATATCGAAATAATATCGAATTAAATCGAAAAAATATCGAGAAAAAAAAAACACAAAAACCGAAGGATACGCATATACACCGTATAAATATTAGAGCAAAGCCATTAGTAATCCCTAAAAAATATATGCTAATTTCGTAAATGGAAACAAACTTCTAGTGAGTAATTGTTTTTTTTTCTACTTATCTCACCTAGGAAAATAGTATATATTAAATGAAGGGCTTGCACGGGAAATTATTCACTTTCTCTAAGTTAAAAACAAAATACAATAGGCCAAAAAATACAACAAAAAAAACAACAGAGTTAAAAAGCTATCAGAAATGTTTTAGGAAACTGGTGTGTGTCGTTGTCGCTTAAGGTATTCACAATCAATGTTCCAAAAATAGCAAAACAAAATGAAATATTCCAAGCAAAATGTTGAATTTATTAACAAGAAAATACATATTATTATTATTTTCTTACCTTAATCGGAGTCTAATCACTTTTTGTTTGTTTTCTGCATTATTAATATAATTTTGATTTAATTTACAATCCATATAAAAAAATCTGTATCTAGAATTTGAATATTTTTAATTAAAAAAAAAATCCCTTAAAAGTAAATAAAACCCATGTAGATACAAGCAAAAGCAAAGCAAAAACGAAATAGGAAAAGGAAAATGAAAAAAAGAAAAGCATGAAAAAAAGAAAGGAAAACAAAAAAACCGTATTGTGATTTATAGCGTTAATTATTTTATGGCAAACAACAAATAAAACTCAATGTCGGAGCGGAAAATTATATATCAACTAGTGCAAATTTTAAGCTATTTATCAAGTGGGTCATCTCCCAAAAAAAAAATAAGTAAATTAAAGAAAATCTTATATCAAATAAACGAAGCGTATCGAAAAAAAGCAAAATACAAAATAACAAAAAAAGAACAAGAAAACCGACTACGAAACTTAAAAGTTTATTTTAAACATCGAGTTGCATACAATTTTAAACTGAAATCAATTCAATTAAATATGAAAGTAATTATTAAATGCCTGTAGTTAGATCCAACTAAAAAAAGAAAACAAAAACTATTTAAAGCAAGCTAAAAAGAATTCGAAGCCAAAATTTATCAAATTTTTAGACTAAAATATATATATGTACGTGTATATAGAAAAATACATATATATAGGGGGGATAAAAACTAACTAAATGCAGTGAGAGAACTTTTTAGAGCAATTGCAGTATTTGCCCTTTAACCCGATCAAGAAAATCAAATAACAAATGAACAGTTTGCATATTTAAAATCAGGTTTTTAAGTTTATTTTGTAAATATTTAATTTGACTTTCTTTCAAATGAATTTTAAATTAAAATTTTAATGAAAACCCAAGTCCAAAGCTTACAAGGAGCCTTCACAGCATCACTAGAATTTTTAAGAGCTTATGTGGTACTGTTGAGGATCCTGGAAAAATCAGAAAAATACATGTTCTATATAAATATATATATATATAATTTTTTTTTTTTTGCTTTACAAACAAATATTTATTTTGAAACTCTAGTAAAAATGTCCAAAATATTGGTGTTTTAACATAAATCAACTCAAAACCATCACAAAATTAATTTAAAATCAATCCAAAATAAGCACTGAATCCAAAAAAAAAATCAAAACTTGATCGGGTTCTGGAACACAGCATTAAGCATTCATGTGAAAACTTGAAAATTTTTTTGTCTAGCCTTTAAGGAAAGTAAATTAAATGTAACTTTAAATCGAATTAATTATTGTATATCGTATATATATAAATACATATATATATAGAGCATAAATGTGTATGTCAACGCTTAAATTAAATGACTAGCTAAGAATAGAAACGATGAGTGGAGAGAATATTACAATTTTTTGTGTTTTTTTTTGTCTGTCCTGCCTAGTGGTGTAAGCCTAATTGTAAACAAAGTAAATGTAAACAATTTTAAAAGGTAAAATTAAATTTAAATACATAACAAAAAAACAAAGCTTAGCAACAATTTGTAAAACATTTGAGCGATCTACCAAAAAAAAAAGAACAAGAAACAAATTATGAAGTGAAAGGAAAAGCGATAAAGTAAACCTTTTTTTACACGAGAAATGCTGCCTTATGATTCCTTGTTGGGTTCTTTATTCATTAAGCCAATACTGTAATTAATCTTTTTTTTTGTTTTTGTGAAACATATATACACAAATATACACGCATATTTACATAGCGAATAATACAAAAGAAAATGCTTTAAATGTTTTTCATTTACCTTGAGACACTTTGATTTGTTTAAATCTATTTAATTGTTTCCTTGAGCTACGCGCAAAGCTTTTAACGAGAGATAATACATTTTTCACATCAATTGTCAAACGATTCAATTAAGAGATCAATTAAATAGACGTTAAAAAAAAAAAACAGAAAAACGGAAAAAGAATAAAGCGACTAAAACAAAAGAAAATCCTATTAAGCCAAGTAAATTATAATTATTACAAACAAAAAAAAGGAAACATAAAATGTGAAATGCAGAATGCAAGGAAAAAGATATGAAATGGCCGGCAAAAAGAAAACTAAAAACTAAAAACGAATTGCGTGCAAAAGGGAAAGGAAACAGAAATTAATTTTTAAGTCGAAACCAACTCAAATTAGTTGAAATAAAAGAAATAAGATTGAAATAAAAATTATTTCAGAATGCTATAAAATATAAGAGCGTTTAATTTGATCATATTTTCTTTTCAAACTCGGAGGATTCTTTCAGTTCGTAATTATTAAACAACAAAAAAAGGGAGCTAACTTCGGCACGCCGAAGTTTATATACCCTTGTAAGACTGAAAAAGTTAATTAAATTTTCAATTGTATTAATTTCTCGATCGTTCCTATGGGAGCTATAGGATATAGTAGATCGATTTTCATAAAATTTTACAGAAAATTCTAGATTTACATATATTGGATATACCTTAAATTTGATAAAATCTTTTAAAAGATTCCTATGGCAGCTATATATAGTCGTCCGATCTGACCCGTTACAATTTATATAAGAGTGAGGATATATATGTATATGACTAACTGCAAACTTGAGATACCTTTGAAACGTAGGAACTAGTTTGCGTAGAAACGAACAGACGGACATGGCTAGATCGACTCGGCAGTTGGGTCTGATCAAGAATATATATACTTTATGTGGTCGAAGGTGAAGGGTATAAAACTAAATAATTAAAAAATAAAACAACCCTTTTGACATTTTACATCTGACATTTTACATCTGACATTTTACATCTGTAAATGTAAATGTATATTAATGGCGCCAGTGTGAAAAGGTGCAAGTAGTCTCTTATGCTATAAAATATAAATACAATTCTATCTTTATTTCAAACACTTTCAATATATGATTATCTTTACTAATTTTTATACAATTTGACACGGTTTAACAAGGTCTAAAACAACCCAAAAATCCGCAACAAAAATGTAAGAGGTCGACACTTTAACATTTTTGTTGTCGAATTTTTTACGATATTCGTTTAGTATTTTTTTTGTAAAATGTTTGGTATACTAAGCAATATGTTGCGGTATTTTTCGTTTACTTAGGCGGAGGCGCAACCGCATTGTGTGTAATAATGCTAAATAAACATCGGCTAAGTTGTATTTTTGTGTTAATGTTAATACATTTTGTAAATGTGAGTCCTCACTTACTCAACATTTAAAATTTTAAACGAATAATCATCGATACTCGGAGCATCGGAGCACGATGTTTTTAAATATCGATGCATGGAGTAGATATTATCTTAGAGGCCTGCAATAGTCATCGCCTATTACTAAAAATTTATAGCCAAAGCTAGCTAAATTGGCTAAATGGCGGCCATATAATTAAGCATATTTTCCCAAAAATGGGCCCTCCAAACTAAATCGTTGTCATAAATGCAATTCTTACTGGAATATGCTGAAAAAAGCTACATTTTGGCTATAAGCTAGTTACATTTTCAAAAATGCTAGATCTTATCAAAACTAAGCGAAGTTGCATTCACTGACGCTATGTCAATTCGCCTTAAGCTATTGAAAACCGCCAGATCTAGCTGGGAAATAGCTAATAGCTAGATGGGAAAACATCGATTGCAAGCCTAGTGGCATCGGTGTTTCTCCGGCAAAAACAACAAAATTATTTTGTTTCCGTTCACATTAACAGCCAACAAGCTAGAATTCCATTAAGTTACCCTACTTCTGTCTGGATCAGAGCGATCTGTTAATGAATTTATTTTCAATATGAGAATGTTTCTGTAAACGTGTAACATTGTACTTTACGCGTGTAAAATGTAAAACTAACAGTAGCAAGCTATTGACACCTTCGGTGTGACCAGCTCATGTGAATGGAAAAATCGCTCTCGCCTGTGTGCTGAGTCTTCAGCATCCTGAACGGAAAACCGCACAGTCACACTTAAAACAAAAAATTTTTCGACGAAGGCGGTTGTGTTGCGGATCGACGCTGAATTCGGGCTCTCAAAAATAACTGAATGAAGCGGTGTGCCGCGGAACTGAATTTTCTGCCGCGTTGAATTGAAAAAGTCTACTCGAAAATTTCTAGCAAGGCTTTAGCTGTTTTCAACGAATGAGACTTAGCGACGAAAGAGAGCTGATCGCGTGAAACGAACCACAAAGCAAAAGGAAATGGCATAACGGCAATAAATAACATATTCTTTTTTTTTGAAAGTGAGTGTAACGAAAAAGGATAAACACATACCGGGAGGAAGAGTTCGAAATGGCGAACGAAAACGCCGAAACAAAAATTAAATCGTATAAATTTTTTTGTTAAAAAGGATCCTGTGAAAACTCGGATTTTATGAAAATAGTGTCTCTACCTCGGATCTTTTTTTGTGCAAGTGTGCAACGCGCGTGTGTGCATGTGTGCGAGAGAGGGAGCTAAGAGAGATCGAGAGAGCAAGCGCGTGTGGCGTCCGTTTGAAATTTGAATTTCAGCTCCGATACCGATCCTCCTCCTCCTGATTCTTCTTCTTCAACAACAAATACGCAAATAAAAGGGGAAAGGAAAAAAGGAAAAGCGAAAGAGCGTTACTTTTTTTTGCAATTATTTTTTGCTGTTCGAAAAACAAAAAATGTCGCCGTCGTCGGGCAAGGAACTTCTTTTAATTTATAAAATATAAGAAATACGAAATAAAGGAGAAACGCACAGCTTAAAACAATAGAAATATAAACTATTATCCAAGAAAAGTAACACAAAAAGATCAGCTAAAGAATCTCTTCTCTAATCGAAAATTCCTCGAAAAAAAAACTTAGTGAGTGAAATACAATAAAAAAAAAATCGGTAAAAAAAAACTGGTAAACTTGGTAAACTGGATTACAATGCAATCGCAGCGCAGCCGACGTCGCAGTCGCGCATTAAACACTCGCATTTGGATTAACAAAATGTACGCTCTGCGAGCGTCGCTGTCGGCATCACTGCCACTGCTGCTGCTGACGCTGGCGTTTGCGAATTTGCCAAGCACCGTCCAAGGAACTGGTGAGTAAAAAGGAAACGTGAAAACGCAGCAACGCGATCACGAAGCAAACCATAAAAGGGGGGAGCAACAGAAAAAAAGGGTGCTAAAGCTGGGTGCAAAGGGTAGGTGGAAAAACCACACGCTCATTGAGGAACAGGAACTCGGGGAAAAATAATAATAATTGCAGGGGAAGGCTTTCTAAACCCTAGGGAATTACGTACATATCTTAGGCATTCCAAAAATTGTTTATAGCATAATTCAGCATAGTTCTGTGCTTTAAAGGAATGCTCCTAATTTAATTTATATAATAAATATTAGCTTAGGAAAGCCTTAAAGTTCCGTTAATCCATCAAATCTATCTATAAAATACAAAACTATTAATACGAAAAAATACTAAAAGTCTATCTATAAAAATAAGCCTTAATTAGAGACATAATAGGAAAGGTTTTTTTCTGACATTTATTTTTTAAAATAAATTATCAATTATAAAGTAAATATAAAATATTATTGAAAGGTAATTTTGATGTATATATATTTTTTTTAATTAAGCCTTTAATTTCCCATTAAAGTATCTACGAATAATTCTCCGTTAAAACCTTAAAAATATATCTTTCAAATGTGCGCTGTGCACTCGCAAGTATATTCCCACTCCATTTTGATTTTTCCATTCCACGCTACCTCCCTTATTCGCTGCTCCTACTCTTCCTTCTTCTGCTTCAACTTCTTTTCCTGGCTTGCCTTTTTTTCTGGCTCTTTCGCTCGCCTCCTTTCCGCTGCCATCCTACGCTTCGCTTTGTTGTCAGTTTTCAGACAGGTGGTCGCTCTTTCATTCCTTCGCTTCTCTCGCTCTCTCGCTCGCAATGGGCGCCCAGCCGCTCTCGCTCGCTCGCTTGCGCGCTTGGACGCTTGCTCTCTGCTGACTGCGCATGCTCTCTCAGATTTGTAAGCCCACCTTTTTCGAGACAAAAAAAAAATAAAAAAAGGAGGAGAGAGACAAAATGAAAAGAAATACTCGTATAAAATAAAAACGAATTTTTACCGTCGGCAAAAAGGCGACTTTTCTTTACCAACGTTTATTTTTTCTGCTTTCCTGTATTCTGTTATTTGCGTTTCCCTTCGAAACCCGTAGTTTTGAACATAACATACACATGGTTTATTTGGACAGCTCGACACATAGAGATGGCACACAGGGCAGGAGGTACTTGTATTTGCATACGGGAACGGCTCTTTGTCTAATCATTAAATAAATATCGTTTAGGTTGTAGGTGTACCTTGAGGAGAATGTCAACCATTACGGGGAACTCGAACATTTTTAGCTGGAATTAAGGCTTAGAGTTTGAACAAGGGAAATGCACAGTTTAGGAAAAAAAAGTAACCTATCAATAGATTTTTTATACATTGCGAGGATGAGAATAATATAATTTAGTAAGAAAATAAATACATTTTCAAATGTCTTTTTATTATAACATAATTCAATTGGATATAAAATATATATAAATAATATATATAATAAATATAAAAATGAATTATATAAACATTTTAAATGTTAACGTTTTTTGCTAGACACATCTAAAGTCGTAATACCATTTAACACTATAAAAAGTTTGCCAATTTAGACTTGCCAGATACCCATTAGGTAAAATGCAACTCTGTTGAAGGTTGTCAAACTGCATAATTGTAAAGGGAAAATGTTCTTCTCCTTCTTTCCTAAAAAAAAATTTATAAAGCAAGTAAAGAAACCTCCATGGAAATCGATTCTGGACAACATAGAAGCTCGTCTGTTTAGGGTCTTTAGGAAGAATTATACCTTGGACACCTATGTAGCCACCCAAAGGATGAAGATTGTTGGAAGAGGAATCATTTGCAGGAAGTGACTGCTCTTTAGAAAGATTTGCAAGGTCGGTGGAAAACATGTCAAATGATAGTTGACAATGATACCAAGACCCAGCCATATCTCTTCCGAAGAAGTTCCTAGTCAAATCCAACCTCAAAGACACCAAAATAACACTCCAATAATGCCACGACGGAGCTCAGGGTTTGCTAGTTAAAAAATGGATTCCCTTTTAGAATCGAAATCATTTTTAAAGCATTTGTTTTTCGGGTTTCGTCTTTAAAATTATTTGTAATTAAGAATTTATTATTTTCAAAACTCTGGTATCTATGATTTTTTCTGGGTTTTCTTTTTTTTACAGCTGCAGCTGAAGATCATTGAACTAGTATTTTGATAACTTTTACCTGGGCATTTCCTGAGATCTCGGGTTTCCGCCTCCTAAACTCTTTCTTTTCTCACTCTCTCTCTGTGTGTGTGTGTTTTTTTGTTGTTTTTTTTATTTACTGGATTTATTGGCCATGTGTGATGGATGGATCGTGTGATCTTTGTGAACGACAAAATATTTGCATTTTTGTTGGTGTAGCTGCAAGAAATTAGCCAGCCCAAAAGGAAGTTTCATAATTGAACAACTACAAAAAAAAAGTGTTGTCTTTATATATATATATATATATATATTTTACACAGCTCAAAATCTTTTGATAATTTTGGAAAGGAAGTTAAGGATAATTAATAACCTGTATTTCTCTGTTTCTTGTTAAGAGAAAGCTACGAGTCTTTGAAGATATTTTTGCGGTGTATCATAATTTCTCAATTCAACGCCTCATTAGCTCCAATCCTGCCAAGTTCCTTCAACTTTTTGTGGGATCACCGACGCCTGCAGTTGCTCAGGCATATTTTTTTTGTTCCTATGCAGGTTTTAATATTATATTATAGCACGTAACGGTTTCGAGGACCAACCACCGCATTCGATTTCATCACATGGCGGCGGTAGCTATATTGGGATATACATATATATGTATATGTATTGGGATAAAACGACAGCTGGGCTCCTGGATCCATGAGCGAAGCGAAACAGCAGGAGCGGGAAGAACAGGAACAGGAGCAGCAACCCCTGAATCCTGGCATATTGCACATGCGCGTCCTTTTTTTTGTACTGTTTGCTCAAAGATCAAATTACGATATAGGGGAAGTGAGCAAGAGAGAAATACACCAAGAGAGCGACAGAGAGAGAGAGAGTTTCTACCTAAAAGTATCGCTCAGATACTTTAGTATCTTTTTCTCTCTCTGTCTCCCTGTTTATAGCTATTTCCTGTATATATCCTGCACCCTAAAACTATATTTCTTGACTTTTGTAAGTCACGCACACGGTCGGTTCCTTTATTAGGTTTTTCCCTAGACTCTTAGTAAATACTTACTATATGGCATTATAACTCCGGGCATAAAGTGGGTACACATACCCAACCCATGGTTATAGGTCGTTAAATGAGTATTTTACGATCGGCCATGGATCATCATCAGCATTGCAACTTCATTTAATGGATATAAAAATTTTAGAGAGACGAGAGCATTTCAAGTTGAAGAATGTGTTCTAGGATTGTAGGGAAACTAAGGTTTTGACTTTGATTTTTAAGAACAAGTAGCTAAAGATGGTTCCTAAATGGGTCTCAAGACTTTTAATTACTTGATTTATATTTATAATTTCATAGAAAAATATATATATATATATATTTAGAAAATTAATTAATTATAAAGCCTTTAAAAGTCTTTATATTAAATGCATTTCCCACCAATTCCCACGACTAAAAAATCCACTTAAAACCCTTTCCAAGGACGTTGTCGCATTTATTGTGAAAGTCAGTCTGGTCTCTCTTTCTGTCTGGTAAGAAACATATTCGGCAACTTAATTAATTTGAGACAACCACTTATCGACCATTTACTGTCACATTTATTAATTAATCGACACCGCCACCGATGGCCCAGAAATGCACAAATTATCACTTAAAAAATATATACATATAACTTTCCCATCGAGTAACTTAAGAAGACTTAATTAAAAAAAACGGTATATGAAATCAGCTAATTTTTCAAGTGTTAAATCTGCTGTTACTCCTTTTCTTTCGAGAGCATTCAAAACGAAGAAAAAACCTGTAATTGATAAACAAAAAAAAGGTAAAATAAAAATAAGGCGATGAAGAATCTTGTTGTTGGTCACTTGATAGCCTGCTTTCATACATATATATGTATATATATCTATATATATATGAGTATATATACACGACATTGGATATCTGGCAGAGCAGTTCCGTTCGAGGCCTCTGCCTGATCCTGTTTTTATTTATTTTTTTTTCTCATTTTCGGGACACACCTTGAACGAGCGTTGAGCAGAAAAAGAGAGAGAGAAGAATGAGAATTGGCAATATTTTATAAATATTTTTTTGCAATCAGGTAGAATTTTTTTTTGCTGTATTTGTGGAGATTTTTTTATGAGCATTCCGCATTTTTTTGTTTATTTTCTATATTAATTAAGTTACAAATGTTAAAAATCAATGATGAAATGAGAAAAAAATCGTATATTTTTATATATCCTATGATCCGTATTAATTAATCCTAATTTTCCCTTGTTTTAGTTAATTTTCTACATTTATTTGTTTACTAATGTTAAAAATCAATGAGGAAATGGAAAGAAAAACTGACTGATAGGGGTATTTTTAACATTTCTTATAATCCTTATGGATTTATATTTAATTTCCCCTTGTTTAGTTATTTTCTATATTAATTTGTTTACTAATGTTAAAAATTAGCATATTTTCAAAAACATTTTTTACATATTCCATAATCCCTATGGATTAATCTATAATTTTCCCGGGTTTTAGTTTAAAAATCTATGAGAAAATGAGTAGAAATGCTACTTTACTTATACATTTTTTTAATTTCCCATAATCCCTATGGATTAATCTATAATTTCCTCTTGTAAATCTCAATAAATCAATTGATTTTGCTATGTATTTTTTCTTTGTTTAATCCTGTGCCATTTGTTCTTATTTGTCATTCTCATAGTCATTGCATAAACATGAAAAGCCATTTTCCCAGACCATCATCTCAACTGTCTTTCTATACCTCTTTCTCTCTCTTTGTCTCTATCTCTGTCTCTCCAAGTATTGACAACTTTCCAAGTTTTGTCTTGGGAAA